TGTACGAATTAAAGGTGCTACCCTTCGGTCTGTTTTCTGCCGCTGCGACATTCCAGAGGATGATGAATACAGTGTTCTCCATTCTCAAGTGGGAAGCATGCCTTGTTTACTTAGACGACGTCGTCGTCTTCTCGCAAACGTTTGAGCAGCACTTGCAGCGACTTAGATCTGTGTTTGCTGCAATTCGCACGGCAGGCCTATCACTGAAACCAGAAAAATGTCATTTTGGTTACAACGAATTAAAGTTCCTCGGCCACCTTGTTAGCCCTGATGGTATTCGGCCTGACCCAGACAAAACATTGGCTGTCGCAGATTTTCCACCACCTGCCAAAAACGTGATGTGCGTCGATTTTTAGGCCTCTGGGCATACTACAGACGCTTTGTGCAAAATTTCGCGAACATTGCCGAACCCCTCACTTGTCTGACAAAAGAAGATGTTCCCTTCGTGTGGGGCCCTGAGCAAACTAGCGCTTTCTGCGAGCTCCAGCAGCGTCTCCAGTCTGAGCCCTTACTCGGACACTATGACGAATATGCCGACACTGAACTACACACAGACGCCAGTAACATCGGCCTTGGTGCAGTCCTCGTCCAGTGGCAAGGCGGCGTCGAACGCCATATTGCTTATGCGAGCCGGATTTTATCATCTGCGGAAGCGAATTACACAACCACTGAAAAGGAGTGCCTGGCTGTTGTCAGGGCAATAGCTAATTTCAGACCGTACCTGTATGGTCGCCCGTTCAGAGTTGTTACCGATCATCATGGGCTCTGCTGATTGGCGAACCTTGAAGACCCCTCCGGACATCTGGCCAGGTAAAGCTTACGCCTTGAGGAGTTCAATTTGACAGTCGTGTACAAGTCTGGCCGGAAGCATACTGACGCGGACTGCCTTTCCCAAGCTCCTCTTAAGACAGCGTCAGGTGATCACGATCTCGACGACCGTTTTCTCTGCGCCGTTAGTGTATCCGACTTGGCTGAGCAGCAGAAGAACGATTCAGAGCATCGACAATTCATCAAATTTCTCGAAGGCCGTACGCCGCATCCACCACCATCATTCGCCCGCTCGCCATCATCGTTCTGCTTTCACAAAAATGTTCTCTATAAAAGAAACTTCGACCCTTACGCGACTGAGTACCTGCTCGTCGTCCCCCCAAGCGTTACGAGCCGATGTCTTGTCTGCCTGTCACGATGAGCTTTCCTCAGGCCACTTAGGATTCACACGTACCTTGGCCTGGATTCGCCAACACTATTACTGGCCTAAGCTCAATCGAGACGTGAAGCATTACGTGAAGACGTGTCACGAGCGCCAGCGCCGTAAAGCACCACATCAGCGCCCGCCGGCTTTTTGAAGCCCGTCACTCCTCCGATACAACCGTTCCAACAAATTGGCATGGATCTACTCGGACCTTTTCCCAAGTCTCGTGACGACAACCACTGGATTGTAGTCGCTACTGATTACATAATGCGCTACTGCGAAACGAAGGCATTACAACGTGGCACCGCCATTGAGACTGCCCACTTTTTATATGAAGAACATCGTCCTCCGACATGGAGCACCAGCAGTTGTCATATTTGATCGTGGCACAGCTTTTACTGCCCGGATGATACAAGACGTCATGCAGCTTGGCGGCACAGTACATCGAAAAACTACTGCATACCACCCACAAAGCAACGGCCTTACAGAGCGACTAAACATGACGATCGCCGACATGCTATCCAGGTACGTTAACCAAGACCAAAAAAACTGGGATGACATCCTCCCTTACGTCACGTTCCCTTACAACACCGCTGTGCAAGAAACAACGGTTGCTTCACGGCAGGGAGGTCACTACAATGCTGGATGCCATGCTTCTACCAGACAGACGCCAGATTAGGGTCAAGACGAACGAATTTATCAGACTGGCAGACGCAGCTCGTAAGCTTGCAGTCGAACGAATCCACAAGCAACAATGCATCGACTCGTTGCGGTACAACGCTCGTCGTCGCGATGTCTCTTACCAACCCGGAGAACGAGTATGGTTGTGGACTCCCATTCGACAACGGGGCCGGTCGGAAAAGTTGTTACGCTGCTATTTTGGTCCCTGTAGAGTTCTCCGCCGTCTAAGCGAAGTAAACTACGAGGTTCTTGACGAAGACATGAGTCGTGATTCCCGCCGTTCACAACAGCCACACGTCGTCCATGTTTCGAGGATGAAACCATTTCACCAACGCTAACTATTCGTCAAACCTCCTTGAGTAGACTTACAGTGATTGTGAACACCCCCTTGTGTACTACTTATCACATGTCTTTTCTTTTCATCTGGTAATTATGTTGTGACATCGGGACGATGTTCTTTGGGAAGGGGGGTAATGCCACTAGTACAAGTTCTGAAAGTATTATTTCCATAGATGCTGGCAGGCTTGTATGTGCCGCTGTTCAGAAGAGGATGAAGATGCGCGAGCAGAGAAAAACGATAAAGTCGTATTGCCCTTGTTCGAATCAGTTTGACGTCCTTGTGTGCCTTGTGTGCCACAGGTATTGGAGCAGTGCCAAGTAGGTCAAGTCGCAGCTGCGCGTTAACGTCTCACCCGCAGAAGCTGCCGGCTCCTCCAAACGCTCATAACACACAGCTCTCCCGCTTCACCCTCTCCACCACCCACAACGCTCGACCGCACGTCGAGTGGAAATACTCTTTCAGCTCGTTATCTGCGATGAAACTTACACGAAGCCCAACCCGCCTTTTATGTCTTTGCGTTTCAAACAAACGTTTACTCTAGTAAACGTTGCACCGAGTTCGCTTCAAGCCGTTCTTCCAGCACCCGCGTCGACGCTCGTTTCAACTGGGTCAACGACGTGCGCACCACTGCTGCTTCGCATCCCAGCAGCTTTCACTTCGGGGCAATGGTTCATAATTTCTCAATGCTCAGGCGTCAAAATTTTCCACGTGTGTTCTCGTCATTTCTGGGCAGATGCAAAAAATTAGGTGTCAATTTCTTGTGGCACATACCCGCCCGCGGGTATGTGTCGCTTTTCGGCAGGAAGCGTTTGACGACGCGCGTGACAGGATTGTGACTTTATTCATGTCTTAACCGGCACGTCGTATTCGTGAAACTATGGAACCCTAGCTCTCATACTAATTTTGGTTCACGCCAAGTTAAGGAGGTGATCCCGAGAGCACCCAAACGTGATCGGCTAGATAGATAGATAGAAGAAATGCTTCGCCTGTAATATCTTTACTCACATTTGTAAAACAGCAACAGTAAAATAAATATAATTACCTTTCTTAGGTTTAATCAATCACAAGAAGGCTGTTTGTGTATGACGTGTTTTTGTTGATAATCTGCATGCTGTGAAAGAGCTTTTCGTATTGCTCTTCACATGTGCGTTAATTCGTTCCATTTATGCACTCGAAACTGCATGCATGCTTTCATGACGCGAAGACGCGCGTTGCTGTTACATGCAGCATTCAGTGTTTCTTTTGTCGAGCTACACGATAGGACATGGCACAGCGCTTATAAAGGCGCTGCGCAGTGGACATGGCGCGCCATGTCCCCTTATACTCTATGAATGGGTCTTGGCGCTGTCAGCCACAATGATTCTTCACATCCATTGCCGGTGCGCAAAGTTTTAACACAGTGAAAGTGCATATATATATATATATATATATATATATATATATATATATATATATATATATATATATATATATATATATATATATATATATATATATATATATATATATATATAAATATATATATATATATATATATATATATATATATATATATATATATATATATATATATATATATATATATATGTGTGTGTGTGTGTGTGTGTGTGTGTGTGTGTGTGTGTGTGTGTGTGTGTGTATACCCGATAGCAGCATCCGCATCCACACGGGCGTGCGCGTGCGTGCACACGCCACACGTTTTAATGCCGGGTACCCCCAGCTGCCTGTAGCACGCGCACGCTATCGCGTTTCTTTGTACTCACTGCCGCACATGTGGAGAATACAAAAGAATGCAAGGGCTCACGTACGCAATCCGCTTTGAGCCGCAGCACTGAAACTCTATATTGATAGCCTGTTTCGCTCCTGCAAGGGCTGTGTGCCGCAAGGAAAACATGCAGGTGCAAACATCCTTTGCAGGTGCAAAAAATTCGCGGTTTTTTTGCAGGTGCAAAAAACCGCGAATTTCACTGACACCCAACGCGGCTTTTTATTTAATGCCGGCACCGCATCGATACCAGAATTTGTCATGAAAAATTACCAAGGAAGTTCCGGACACCCAGCCCAGATGCACAGCCATTCCTGTTTAAGGAGTTTTTGAACACTCATTTAGGAACCAAATATACTGCATCCTGTCTATTGTCAGTGGAGCTATCGGTATGTGTACGTTGCGTACTCAAAAACCCGCGTTAGTCTTGCCACAACGTGTTCGCACGCACGCGCTGCAACCTGCGCAACACGCTCCCACACGCTGCAAGCAAGGGTGCAAGTCAAGCAGACGAAACTTTGGCGGCCGAAGCCCCACAGCGACTTGCGCTTCGCCTTCCCATACTGCCTTGCGCCCGCCTTTGGCGCGTGCGCAGAAAGCATACCGGCAAAAGCTCTCATTTCGGAACTTTGCTGCCTAGCACTGTGCCCTCGTTGTTCAGTGGTAGTCAGTTGAGCGGTTGACTGTGCGGACCATTCTAACCGTTGACAGCCGGCGGATTCTGCTACCGTATCGTGTCGGAGATTGCATGTGATCTTCCAGTTGTGCCTCTCAATTCTGTTGCACTTTTCGCGTTGTAGTTTGTTCGCATTTATTTCTCTTTTTAAGTGTGCTTGAAGTGTTCGTGTGCAGCTACTCAAAAGCAAACCCTAACATGACCCATGCACTCGTTGCCGGAGACTCAATGTTGAAGGACCTCGCAGGGTCTTTCACATTGAGCTCCAGGACACATGTCGAGGTTCGCTCATTCAGCGGTGTGCAGGTCGAGAAATTGTTCTGTTTAATTGCTCATGCTCTGGCAGATGTGCACGTGGTCGTTCTTCACGTTGGCACTAACAATGTCCGCGAAGAACCCCTTGTGCTGATTGCCAGGTTCCGATCACTGATCTCCGGAATTCTTGATGTCAATCCGTCAATCCGTGTGGTAGTGTCTGCATTTCTGCCGAGACAAGCGAGTTTGCGCAAATGCCAGTGGGCGCTGTCTGTCGGAGAATTGGAGGCGTTACACATGGATGCCGTGGAGATGAATGCCATTTTGCAGGCGCTGTGCCACAAGAACGGCTATGGTTTCGTGCACGGCACACACGAGCTGATGGGGATGCTGAAGGCTGACGGTGTGCACGTGACGAAACGTGGTAGCCAGGTAAGCAATTAATGTGGATGTTACATAGGGGCTAGCTGCCTAGTCGGTAGCAGCTGCGGACGATCAAAGTTATGGGTTAGCGACGAGTCAACGACACATATTGCAATTGTTGCATTTAGAAGGGGCGAATTCATTCCTCCAAGAAAACGCAGGCGTGCTTGCAGCGCTACAGTGCACGTGCTTCATCGCAATTGCCCGCGGAAGATAAAATTAGGCTAAATTAGACGTTTGTAGCTCTGACAGCCGTCCTACGCATAATTTCCGCGCAGTGTGGTACCGCGCGGCGAAGGCCACGTAAACGTGGACGTTGGAAAATTTAGTTAGCGGCATTCCTCTACGGCCTTTTTCGTTTTTTTCCCGAGTTAATTCATTATGTTGGCACTGCCGGTCCACGGACGACCTTTGACCATAAGTTGCATGCTTACATCGTCGGAATCGAGCGGCTGCCTGTTGGTCATGTTCTGCACACGTAGAGCCTTCCGAAATGATTTGATTAGAGTGAAATGACGCATACAGTGGGACTATTTGTGACTTCGGCAACCAATGATATAAGCGGGTTTTACTGTGTGTTCATTACCACAGTATATTTGAGAGGCGCCAACGGGTAAGCTCACTGTTGCACAGCCCTTATGCAACAGCAGCTCCTCTACTCAGAAGGGCAGATTAAGCAAGCTGACAAGAACTACTAAGAACGCCAATGAGGTTACCTCCCTTATGTGCATTATCTCTGCCATGAGTTGACAAGCATCGGGTGTAAATGTGAATTCCCTATAGTGCATCACAGGAAAGATTAATACTACTGTTACTCTTATTGTTATAAACACAGATCATATTTCATCAAACCCATTTTAGACCATTTTATTCTCTTAATTGAAATACTGAAAATTAGATGTCTGATATGCCTTACTTGTTTCCAAAACAGGACAGTAATGTCTGATATATAAAGTAAAAATTCTGCAAGTCTTATATGTAATTAGATCATTATACATCGAATGTCTCAGCCATTTTGGCGACCACAAAAAAATCTTGCTGGAGCACTGCGTTTAAAACAGTGAACTGATAGAATTTTTCTGAGAGAAAAAAATGTTTGGTCACGTGGCTGCCTTCTAAGTTACCTGAAAATGTCATTTGGGTGTTGTTTGTGGAAAGTTTATTTTTTAAAGTACCGCTTTTTCTTTTTATACCAAATTTGGTATACATGTTAAGCAAAGGTACTTGTGCACGATGTTTGAAGCTCGGTAATATTAGTGCAATTTTACCAACCCATACGCTGCCAAGAATTTAGCCAAAACGTCTTATATTTGCAGTTTTTTTTATTGCAATATAACAGTTTGTATCAATACCTGTGTAGTAAATACTTACTCCACAAAAGGTGTATTTTGAGGAAAAAATATTGTTCGATCTCTCATGCAGATAAAATTTAAAAGAAAAAAACATAAATTTCACAAAATTCCATTTTTGTCTATATTCAGATGCAATTTGCACCCTGCGGTGGTCAAATTGAAAGTCACCCTAATATTTAAATCAAAAGCAAATCAGCACTTCTTTTCAAATGGCAAAGCTCATCATTAAACTTTTTGTTTTAAGTAAGAAAATAATTTTGAAACTTTCCTATTGACGGCAATGTGGAATTTCAAAGCAGCAGCTGTTGTATGACGAGATTGGAAGGTGGGCTCCAATGGGAAAGTTCAAAAATTACTTTGTTTCCTGAAACAAAAAATGTAATGACAAAATTCGCATACAAAAATAACTGCTTACTGGCTTTTGATTTAGGTATAAAGGTGACTTATAGCACCAGAAGGTGCAAATTGAGTTTCAATATGGATAAAAAGGATGACTTGCAAAATTTGTGATTTTTTTCTCGTAAAGTTTAGCTGCTTGAGAGGTCTGAAAAAATTTTTTTCCTAAAAATATACCTTTTCTCGAGAAAGTAATCACTACTCAGTTATTCATACAAACTGCAGTATTGCAATAAAAAAACTGCAAACATAAGACATTTCGGCTAAATTCTTGTAGGCATATGCGCCACGAGTAGAATTGCACTAACATTATTGAGCTTCAAACACCTTACACAAGCACCTTTGCTTAACATGTAGACTAATGTTGGTATAGATAGAAGAAGCGGTACTTTTAAAATAAACTTTCCCACAAACAACACCCAAATGACATTTTCAGGAAACTCAGAAGCAGCCACAAGACCAAAAATTTTTTTCTCTCAGAAAAATTTTAGCAGTTCACTGTTTTCAACGCAGTGAATCAGCATGATTGTTTTTTTTTCAAATACATATGAGACGGTCGCCAAGTGGCTAGAACATTTGGCATAGAATGACCCAATTGCAATTCTTTGATTGTTTCGGCACTAGATATACTATCTGGTAGAGGCAAAAGGTGTATTAATGCCGATGTGCTGAAGAGAAAGTCAAGCTAGCCCAAGAACAGGGAAGGGACTGCTATTTATTTGGAGAAAGCGTGTAAGAATGAGTTACAAGAAATTCCTGCTGTGAGATGCTCTGTGACACACTACAAGAAACTAAAACTGGGAAGTCCACATAGCCCAAAAATTAGATGATGAGAATCAGAGAGATGAATCAACTTTCATTGAGCCCAACTATGTTAATGGTGCACACGGGCACCAGACGAACTGGTTCACTGGTTACAGGACCCATATGTTCTCAGCAGATCCTGGCCCTTGTTCGTCAGTGCAAGCCGAGCTGGTAGGCGGGAACTGGATATCAAGGTCTGCCACGCCAAAGAGGTTTGGTATTAAGGGTCTTGGGAGAAAGGGAAGGAAGGGGATCTTGAGCTCTGAGCCATCTGCCTAGGTTCGTGGCAGGGAGCCTTTTTCTCTTTTGCAAAATGGACAGAGCGTGTCATGTTTCGCAGGGAACATGCGGTTCATTTCAATAATTTACATCAGGGCACATAAAGGCCTTACGGAAGGGGTAGGGTTATACAAAAACAAAAAAGGCAACAAACGTAACATAGCAATGCAACATATAATGAAAATACATGCTCAAACAAACTAGTTAGAATAGGCTGAGGACGTAATACGTTATTGCAACCTTGAATGATGATCCACCCTCCATGCAAGCGATAGAATGCGGAAAGGCGGTTCCACTCAATGCTCGTTTTCGCAAAAAGGAGTCTGAAAAAAAATTATTGCAGTAAAAAGGAATGAAAACCTTGAATGAAAAAAGAATGAAGATGCAATGATACGTATGAAGATGTCGAGAATATTTTCTGTTTAGGTGAACATTTATGGTAGCTGATCTTTTGAAAAAGAAATACACGAGACATTTTTCTTCGAAGTTTCAAATTTGTTAGTCCAAGGTCTGATTTTGTCAGTGAAATGCTAGCGGTGTGGGAATGGTTTGAGAGTGATAAACACGCTGAATGTTTCTGAACCTATTCAATTATAGTTGTTAATACTTTTTGACCAGATCCCAAAGATAAGCAGTATATTCCAGCTAGGGTCTAATATATGTTTTGTAAAGTTGTAATTTTAAATGACATGATGCTTCGCAAAAACTCCTCCAAATGTACCCGAGAGACGTAGCCGTACCAGCCAGGAGGGAGCAAAGCCCCACTTTCGACAGTGGTCACTCTTGGCTGCACGCTGGGGAAACAAACAAGTAAGGTGTAATTATTTATCACAACAGCAATTACTCAATTGTGTTTCTATAGGAGAATGAAATTGTTATGAGGATATGTTACAACATCGTGTAACTTTGCCAAAACATTTCCGCTTTGATGTTTTCCTTGTAGGTATATATATATATATATATATATATATATATATATATATATCTTGTGATGTAACAGTAAAGGCAACCTTTATTAGGCCCGGAAGACACGATGAAGCGACCACGCCCAAGGCACAGAACTCAGACAAGACAAATCCCCACAGCAGAAGCAGATGACGACCACTCATGATGATGAATATGTGTAAAGATAGATGATGTGCTTAATGAATGCCTACACTAACTTCCCCCCCCCCCCCACGTGAAAGCGGTCATCCTGACCGCAGTTCTTGGCCGCATTTTAAAGCGAAGATGAACGCCGTATGAAAGGCTTCATGCGGGATACGTGGACTATTTCTGCTGCCCTGTAGCGGCGGTCCGTTGGAAGAAGAACGGGTGCCACGCGATAATTCACAAGAGACGTTTGCTCCAAGACAGTGTAGGGGCCAATAAAACGTAATTGAAACTTCTCGCACAGTCCGGGAGTGCGAATGGGTGTAAGAAGGAGGACTTCGTCGCCAGGGCTGAAAGACACGGCACGATGGGAGGCATCATATTCAAGCTTGCGATCCTGTTGCTTGGCTTCAGTGTTGACGCGAGCCAGCTGGCGGCAATGAAGTAGACGAGACACGTATTCTTCACTTGAAGATGAACATGGTTTGACAGGCGCAGAGAAGAACGAAACATCGAGAAAAGAAGAGGGGAAGTGACCGTGGACGAGGTAGAACGGCGAGTAACCGGTTGTGCGCTGTACAGAGGTATTACACGCAAAAGTGACAAATGGCAAAATGGTGTCCCAGTTTCTGTGGTCGGGTTCGATATACATCGCAATCATGTCTGACAGTGTACGATGGAAGCGCTCAGTCAGGCCGTTCGTCTGAGGATGGTAACTGGAGCTTGTTTTGTGTGTAGTGCCGGCTGCCTTGAGCACTTCTTCGACGAGTGCTGAAAGAAATACTCTTCCACGGTCGCTCAGGATTACACGAGGAGCTCCGTGTGGAAGGATTATTGCTCGAAGGATGAAGTCGACCACTTCCGAAGCTGATGCAGAAGGCACGGGAGCTGTTTCGGCATAGCGGGTCAGGTGGTCGACAGCTGTAACTATCCAACGATTGCCCGTGACAGTCATAGGAAGCGGACCATACAGGTCAATGCCAACTACCTCGAATTGTTGCAGGGGACACGGGAGCGGTTGTAATTGTCCACTTCGAGTTGATGTAGGTAGCTTGCGACGCTGACAAAGGGCGCATGAGGCAACGTACTTCGCGACACAGGTGGACAAGCCCGGCCAGTAGTAGTGACATCTTATGCGGTCATACGTTTTCTGGAAGCCCATGTGTCCAGCAGACATGTCGTCGTGATATGTCTTGAGGACTTGAGCCCGAAGAGAGCGAGGTAGAACGGGCACCCAGCGTTGACCATCAGGGTGGTAGATATGACAGTACAGGACGTGGTTGTTGAGCTTGAATTGCGTCAGCTGTCGGCGAAGACAAGCGTTAGGGGGCCGGCAAGTCCCGTCAAGACGGTCCATGATGCGGCGACAGTAAGGGTCAGCACGTTGGTGAGATAAAAACAAACCACACTCGCTTGGAGAAGTTGGGTCCAAAGTAGTTAATGACGAAACATGTAGGGAAGAGACGGCCGAAAGCTTCTCGTGTGCAGCAGTGGCGGGTTTGTTAAGCGGCTCCGAAGAGAGCGGGCAACGCGAAAGGGCGTCGGCGTCTTGATGCTTGTTTCCCGACTTGTATGTGATAGTGAAGTCGTATTCTTGTAAGCGAAGAATCCAGCGACCAAGGCGGCCGGACAAGTTCTTGATTGTCGAGAGCCAGCACAAGGCGTGATGGTCCGTAACCACAGTAAAGTGGCGGCCGTGGAGATAAGGTCGAAATTTTTGTATCGACCATACGACCGCTAGGCATTCCTGTTCGGTGATGGTATAATTCTTTTCA